CACTCCCTGGTGCTCCAGCCATGCTCCATGCTTAGACTGTCTCAGTGCCACACCACGCTGCACCTCCATGCCTAGGTCTACCTGGAATGCTTTCCTCTCATCTGCTTGGCAATCATATTTTGGTTTTGTTTTTGTTTTTTTGAGGCAGAATCTCACTCTGTTGCTCTGCTAGAGTTAGCAGATATATTAATAGATAGAACTTAATGAATGGGTCTAGACAGTATTCTTCCAGTGGGGTAATACCAGAGTACAGTGGTACAATCTCAGTTGACTGTAACCTTCACCTCCCAGGTTCCAGTGATTCTCCTGCCTCAGCCTCCCGAGTAGCTGGGATTACAGGCGCGTAATTTCTGGTATTTTAATAGAGACGTGGTTTTAGCATGTTGGTCAGCCTGGTCTTGAACTCCTGACCTTGAGTGACCCGCCCACCTCTGTCTCCCAAAGTGCCAGGATTACATGTCTTTCCATCTTTTGTCCTTAAAGAAATAATTACAGACCTAGCATCATATTCATGTTACTGTGAGTAACAGGAAGGCAGAGCCCATGTATTATAGGATGGCCATTTATTTATCAATAGCATAGTGCTGGCATACAGTAGGTGCTCCATAATTGTGCACCCGATGGAGACATGTGCTTTGGAGAGTGAAAGTGAAAAACTCTGCTAATATAATTCTATTTTATATCCTACCCCACTGGAAGAATACTGTCTAGACCCATTCATTAAGTTCTATCTATTAATACATCTGCTAAATCTATCAGAAAAATTATTGAATGGAGGGATAATGGTGCATGCTGTTGTGGCTATTGTTTAAACGAACATCTGCGGACCAAGAAACATCATAGAATATTGCCTATTTGTAACTGGGCTTAAGGGACCAAAACCAAAAGGAGAAGGTAGAGTAAGTTATAAGTCTTGGATCTACAGTGAGTCATGGAAGCCTGATGCACTAAATTCAGAAGGGCTCAAGGCTCCTCCCGGGTTCACAGGAAAGAGTGAGGTGACAGTTGGCAATATCTACCATGCTACAGCAGAGGGAGGCAGCAACACAATCCCACATACTTATCCCTGATCCCGTATTTAGCCTTCATTGTATATAACAGGTGACAGATCCCCAGGGTCACATGATTAGGTAGCAGCACAGCTGGGTCTGCAAAAAGGCCTCCCAAAATGTGCATTCATTCATTCATTGATTCAACATTTTTTGAAGAATTACAAGGTCCAGCATTCTGCTGTTTTCTGGGATAAGGTAAAAGGATAACGAGGCCAGGTGCAGTGGCTCATGCCTATAATCCCAACATTTTGGGAGGCCGAGGCAGGCAGATCACTACACGGCAGGAGTTTGAGACCAGCCCGGCTAACATGGTGAAACCCCGTCTCTACCAAAAGAAAAAAAGATACAAAAATTAGCTGGGCATGGTGATGCATACCTGTATTCTCACTACTCAGGTGTCTGAAGCAGGAGAATTACTTGAATCTGGGAGGCAGCGGTTGCAGTGAGCTGAGATTGTGCTACTGCCCTCCAGCCTCAGTGACAGAGCAAGACTCCATCTCAAAAAAAAGATAGATAAAATGATAAACAAAACTATTCATGGTCACCAAGCTAGTGAAATATCAATTAGTTTAATGCATACTCCAGTTAAGTTACGATCTCATGGTATCTTTCCAATTCCTACCTCATTCAGCTATTAAACTTCCATTTTCTTATATTTAGTGACATTTTCTACATAACCATAAAAACTGTTTTCAAAAAGATACCTCATAGCCCAAACAATTCAACCAATTCATAACTATTTTTTCTTTCCCCTTTTTATTCTATTTATCAAATTTTTAAAATTCACATTTAACCAAAATCTCTACAATGGCATGTGAAGTATTTTCCAAGCTATACTATTCCAAAATCTCAATTGAAAGAACTTATCACTTCAACGGTAGAAGGAAATGTTGGCTAAGTATATATGAATCTTACTTATAGTGCAAATTTTTCAGAGGCTGAATAATCATAACTTAACCTCAGGAACTCAAATCAGTGCTTAAGAGATCTTACGGTAAAGAAATTCTATTTATATTTCTAATCCAAACCTTAACTACTAACAGTTAAAATAAATCCACTCTCTCATGCAAGACAACAGCAAAGAACCAGTCACCAGCTTACAGCAAATATTGCAGCACATATTATCTTGGTCTGCAAATCTTTAGTTTAATCTTATTTTGCTTTTTAAAACTGAGAGAAATTAATTTGTGGGAAAATTAACCAGGATAAGAGATTGCTCTGAAATCTTAAACAATTTTGTCAAAAAAAATTTTTTTCACAGAAAGTAAATGATCCAAGATGGAAATATCTATAATTTTCACTAAAGAGTTTCTATTTTGACTCTGGAATAAACATATGACTTTTCAAATTCATGTTGGTTTGCAAAATTCCAAACACCAAGTAAGCACTCATTTCCATAAAGTAAAAAGACACATTCTGGTCTTATTCTACACAGGCTACCAGAAAACAAAACCAATACTGTGAACAAACAAATCTTCGCTAAAACTCTTTGAAATAATCCAAATGGTTTCCATTCCACGGGAAATAGTAAGTCAGCAGTTTGCATATGGCTACCTTTTCTAAATACACAAAATAAGCAAAAATGCCACCAGAAGAAAGTGCGGATGCTGAACCCTTTCTATTTCTGTTTCCATGGGACTGCAGTTCAATCAATACCACCCAGCAGCACCCGGCCATCCTGTGTGCACACTTCCAGGTGGTTTCGAGCGTCTGGCACGGAAGCCCAGAGAACTCGCAGGACAAGGTTCATGAAACCATCACTCAAACTACAAAGCCAGTGATAAGAAAGCCGGAGGCCCAGACTCCCACTGTTAAAACAAGGAAAGGCAAGCCAGAAAAATTAATGTGGAGAGGGCTGGAGCAATCAAAATTGTCACAAATAACAGATTCTAAACAATAAAATGATGAGAACAGAGCTAAGCATTCGTTAAAGGAGCAAAGGCTCTGAACAAATGAATAAAGCAATCACAACCTTTCACATAATACCAGTAACGGCCTGGAGTTGGAGAAAAACTGTTGAGTAAAAATATTCTATATAAGGAAACTTACTTAAGGGAAGTATTCAAAACCCTTCACCCAGGGTAGAAGACAGTCCAAAGTACAAAATCAGGAGTGAGACTCTTCTGTCTGGGGTTACTAAAGGGCACATCAGAGAAGCATCCTAAGCACTACATTATTTTTGAAGGATAACAGAAGAAGGAAAAGGAAAATTGCTGTTTAAATTGCAAGACAAAGAATTCATTTCCAAATCCCTATCCTCCTACAGTACTTGAAAGGATAATAATTAGTCAAGAAAATAGCAAAATGAGGAAGTGGTATTCTTTTACAATTTCTGTTAATCCCCACCAGCTGTAATTTAAGAAATTCAGTGACATCAGCATTTATGTTTGAGCCAGCAGAATGACAGAAGGACAACTGCAGAATCATCTGAGGGGAGGAAAATAAATTTTGGGGCCACTGGAAAACGCATTTGGATATGTAGAAAATTAATGCACTTTGCAGTGAATCACTTCTACAGCTTCAAACACCAACACTGCCAAAAATAACATAAAAAGTGGAAAAGGAAGCATAAGCACTCCAAACCTAATCAAATGAGCCAGTGGAACTTCTGAAAAAATGTTCACTGAAACAAGTGAACTGAACATTTCCGAAAACAAACAGAAAGCAATCTAGCCATTTATAAACAATAACCAAAAATTCGATATAATACAAAGATTGACATACCTTAAAAAATGTTCTATATAAGAACTTGTAAACTGAGGTACTTTGGCTATCATCTGTATTACCTTCTTGAAAACAGGCACAGAGTCAATTCCATGATTTCCTTTTCACAGAGAGAGAAAAATAGCTCGTGGGAAAACCACGGAAGTATTTTCAAGGTGTCCCATTTGACTTCGGAGATGGAGCAGGAATAGGTTTGAATTCCCAACATTAATGCTAACCATTAGCTTTCACTCAGGTCAGAAGCAAAAGGAGAGGATAATCACACCAAACTGGACTGACCAAGCAAGCTACAGAAGAGAGCTGAAAACACTCACCAGGGCCGCCTCGGCCCTTTGGCGGAACATTGAGTCCACTGAACCGTCTCAGAAAGGAGATTATTACAAAGATGCGATTGCAGACGTTCTGCCACACGCTTACACGCACCTTCTCTCAACACTAGGAAGGCTAAATTAGAGATAGAGTGATAATTAACAGGATCCTTGGCAGCAGGAGCCGACTTCTTTAGCAAACCAGTAATTGCTGCCTACTTAAAATGACAGGGAATTCAGCCAGGAAGGAGGGAGGTGCTAGATGGTAATCATGAAAGGTAAAATAGACTTTACAACAACAGGTTACTTGGCTCCCATTCAAAACTACCTCTTTGTCTATAGATTCAGTTAATAACATTAGTAAATAAATTCAACACCTTACATATGAGGACTAGAGATCAATAATCATCATGAGGAAAGGATGGGAGGAAATCTGATGAAAATCTATCTCCTCCTCCCTACAAATCTTCCAACCCCCAAAATGTCATCAATTACTACTTAAACCATGAAAATAATTATCAATTTGTATAAGATATCATGTTGGAAAAGAAGGTACTTCCCATAAGTGATATATTTTGACTTGAAATTCTTTTGAAAATACCCAGATGAGAAATTTTTAACAGCAGCCATAAACACTGTTTAAGCCCCCTGTCCTGACATCAAAGTCATTTCCTTTGTTCGTAACCTCTCCAGAAAAGAAAAGGTATTTAACTCAGAAGTTGTTTACCAGGACGACTAAGGATTGCTGGCAAGGTAAAGAGCAGAGTTAGCACAGGGTGTCCTGGTTTAAACCTCCAACCCACCCCAGGAAATAAGACAGCCCATCAACCTATTAAATTGATTATTAAACATTCACCTAGACACTATTCCCAGAAGACCCAATACACATTCCCCAGCAAGAAGCAAATTAATGTACCTCTAACATCTTTAGATGTTCAGACTCATGGAGAGATGAGGATTCAATCTTCTGCTGTAGGGAGATGTCTGTAGAGATTAACCAAGGCAGGAGGCTCATAGTTTCACAGTGACTAATGCTGACCAAAACTCTTCATAAAATCAGCTCTGTAGGTAAAGGCCTACTTTGTTTGCTCAGGAAAGCCCTGACTCTCTGATAGAGCTGCAAAGAATTCCCTGATGGTCCTCCAAGAAGAGATCATTACAAGGCTAAGGCTCTCCATCAGGCTTATGATGCAGCCCAGGAGTCCCTTTCGATAATATCTCATGGAAATCTTTAACATTTCTTGTGATAACTAAAGACATATGCAAGGTAATGAATCAGGATTAGAATCACTGGGAACTTGGATGCTTACACTTTTCTTGGTATGGATGAGAATTAAGTCCTTTTTTTCTTATTATTGTTGGTCTTTCTCCTCTCTCATTAATTAAGAGTAAGAATGCTTTTACATTCATTTTGTGAATCTCTAACTCATCACGGAAGGAACCCCCTAAGTATAAGGCTCACCATTAATGCCATTAACTAGGATTTTTATAACTTCTTCCTCTATGTTAGATCATTATATCCTTTCATTGAAAACATTTAACTGAATACTTTGCACTGACTAATGCTCTTAACACCCACAAGTCAAGGCAGAAGTTATGCTCATTACACAACATTATGATGTTTCAAGACCTCTGGCATGTTAAAGATAAACAGTCCAGAATAGAACAGACTGGCTATAAATTTATGAAGACACACACAAAAAAAGCAATTAACAAGTCAGGTTAGGAGAAAATAAAAGTGAGGGGGAAACAGAGAGACGAGTGAAAAACATCCAGATGTTAGGAGTTACATGTCCGTGTTCAGTAGTAGAACACAGGATGGGTATGTAGACAAGACAACTTAATGTCATCAAGTAGCAACATTTGAAGATCATTAATAAGGAATGGGAAAAATCTACCACTTACTGATACACCACACCCTTGTGAATAATTAAGTATCCACCATTCTATCTTTTGCTATCTTTCTTGGAGCCTTCACAGCCTACTTCCTTTCCTTTTTCAGAAGCAGCTTTGGAAACAAAGAACTATGCAGACAGGCATGCTATGAGCACCTTTAATAAATATAACTATTTATTTTGGATTTGAATGTTTAACCACACCCTGAGTCTTCTGCCTTTACTTCATAAGAAACTTAGTCTTCTTTCCATTCCAAAATCAACATGAGTTGTCACCCCCAATCACGCCTGCCTCTCCCTCCAAACCTCTGAACACCAAAATACATGGAAACCATTGCAGCATGATGAATAAAAGAGTGAGCTTTGAAGTCAGACAGTCCTCAGTTTGAATCACAGTTCTACCTTATTTGAGTAACTTAAGATAGATAAGTGACAGAAGACAGACAAGCACAAGGTCCTTCATTAATAAAATGGGATCCTATCTACCTCATATTAGAATTATATTGTACAAAACACTTAAATACCATATCTGGTAGATAGTAGTGCCTTATTATATTTATAACTCATCTAGATGTAAATTTTAATTCCTGCTGTTTCTGTTTTTTCATTTATCTAACGCAAAATTTTTTAAATTACATAGGTACCTTCCTTACCCCGGGTATCATACATAAGAACACCATAGAAATATACGAAAGGTAGGCTAAAACACTGACACAAGGCATAGCCTGTAAAGAGGGCTTTAAAAATGCTAGATGCTACTGTTATTAGTATTGTTCTTTGTGTTTTCTTTGTTGTCACTAAATTGTGTGATCTATCTGCTATGCAACTTGAAAGTATAGAACCTACTGAAACCAATTCTTTTCTCCCTTTTTCTAAAAGAATTCCAAGCAATCCCAACAAGTACTCAGTTAATGTTTATAACAATGATCATTCTGATAACTATAATATGCTAATTTACAATGCTTACAAAAGTAAAAATCATGACCTTTATCCTCTAGGCCCTGAGTAAGCTGAGCCTGGTTACCTCAAAAACTGCCTACACCAAAATTTGGAAGCCATCCTGAAGTAGGAGACAATCCGTACTTATTTCCTGGTCTCAACAGGATGAAACGAAGAAACATACCAAACTAGCAAATGGGACCAAAGGCAACCTCTAGATGCCCTCACTGCTCATCAGCATAAGACACTCCCAACAGCACCATGACCGTTTACAAATGCCAAGGCAACCCCCAAAAGTTACCACCCCTTTTCAAAAGATTTCTGAATAACCTACCCCTCAATTTGCATGTAATTCCAAGTGGGTATAAATATTGCTTTCTACAGCCCATACACTGCTACTTTGGATGCACTGCCTATGAGTTAGCCCTGTTCTGCAAGGAGCAGCTACTCTCTTGTACACTGTTGCTTCATTAAAACTGCATTCTTCCACCACCAGCTCATTCTTGAATTCTTTCCTGAACAATGCCAAGAACCCTGCCAGGCTAAGCCCCAGTTTGGGGGCTCACCTACCCTGTGTCATCCTACTGCTTTTTGCCAGATTTTTCAGCAATGGTCCCATTATCTCTCTGTGCTCTTTTTCCAGGTCCCCACTCTCACACTCCGCCTAATTAAAGAATGATCAAAATTCTACCATATCTCAACAGTGAAGCCTCAGTTAACTTTCAAGATCTGGAAATGATGAGGCATTTTTATTGGCAAACAAACTGATAAAAATGAGAGATCAGATACATGGAAAATCTTTATTAATGTGGCTTCCTTTGTAATCCACAACATCTGAGCAGGCAGTGTTTTAAAATATTTTCCCCAGTGGGTAAGCTTTTTAGTCCAGAGGAAAAACCACTAGAGAAATACAGATGCAAGAAAACTGTTTTTAATATAGCCAACACTCATTATTCAAGGATTCCTCACTTGCAAATTCACCTACTTACTAAAAGTATTGATTTGTAACCCCAAAATCAATATTCTCAAAGTTTTTACAGTCAATCAATCACATGCACAGAACAGCAAGAAATTTGAGGCTTCCAACATTCACATTACCAAGTGAGGTCAAACAAGGTGATGGTCTGCCTTCTACTTTCAGGTGTCACATCATATTATAAACAAGTGTCCTTTTCACAGTCTATGTAGTACCATATTTTTTGCACTTCTGTGTTTTTGTTGGTGACTCCCCTATTCAATATGGCACCCAAACTTAGTGCTAAAGTGCTGTCTAGTGTTCCTAAGTCAGTGAAGTTATAGCCCTGCTGGCCATGAGTTCAATGTTATGAATCAACAATATATATTAAATAATGTGTCTTTACAAAGAAACACACATAAAATAAAGTTATGTATTGATGGATTGATTGAATGTTGTGACCAGAGGCTCTAAGGAACTTATCCTGTATATCCCTAATGGTAATCTTTTAGTATTTGCTAATTCGGTATTTGCAGCAGCTTTATGAAACAAAAATAATGAGAACTGACTGTATTTTAGCAGTCTATATCTTCAGCACCAATAGGAGTAACAATCATCACCACTACTAACTTTGTATTGAGAATGTACATATGCTAGCCATTTTACATATTATCTCCTAGAATCCTCACTTATCCCAAGAAGGATAATATGTAAAATGCTAGCCATTTTACATATTATCTCCTAGAATCCTCACTTATCCCATGTGTAGGATCATGTCTTACACATTTTCCTGAAAAAATTTGACAAAGTTTCCAAAGCTTATTGACCCCTTCTAGCACAACTGAAACACATCAGTCACCTAGGTCATTCTTTATTCAACAAATATTATTGGACACTCATATCCTGGAACCTTGAGATGTCCAGTGAACTAACAAATTCCCTGTTCCCATGGGGACTAACAGATAATAAAGTAACTATTACCAGATTAAGCTATTGATACATAAAAAGATACTTGATTTATTAAAAGACACATTATTTTAAAAATAAAGCCTTTGAACAAAGTGACAGCTAAAGGCCATCTTCAGTGAATACCAGTTAAAGTATATTTCCAGGCTGGGCACAGAGGCTTACATCTGTAATCCCAGTGCTTTGGGACTCTGAGGCAGGAGGATCGCTTGAGGCCAAGAGTTCAAGACCAGGATGGGCAATGAAGCAAGATCCCATCTCGGCATGGTGGTATATGCCTGTAGTTCCAGCTACTCAGAGGTTAAGGCAGGGGAATTCCTTGAGCCCAGGAGTTTGAGGCTGTAGTGAGCTATGATAGCACAACTGCACTCTAGTCTGGGAGACAGAGTGAAATCCTGTCTTTAAAATAAAAAAAAAAAGTAAATAAAACATATTTCTGAGTAGTGGGAAATTTTGTGTGTGTGTGTATATATATATACATATATAAAATATTTATTTACACATTTTATATGCTTTCTGAGTGGTGAGAGAGCATATATATATATATATATATACACACACGTATATATATATATGTGTGTATATATATGTATATATATGTGTGTGTATACACACACACACACATACACATATGCCTCAAGGCAACTGATGTAACCACCAAGCATGTTCTTTTCCTCTCCCAGAAAGACCTCCTCTGGTCTTTGATGGTCTGATCTGGGGTCCATGCCATCACTCAACAGCCACCCACTTGCCAAAGGCAACAGTGGTTCAAGTTTGACCCTTCCTGATCCCCATTATCCCCAGCTCAACAAATACTTACTAAGTATCCTTTTATACTACAAGGTAATGAAAATTTGCCTGAAGATCCTACAAATGATTCTCAAACCATAACTCTGGGAAAACAAGAGTAAGAGTCAAATCTCTTAAGGTCTATGCATTTAGATGCTCAAGAAATAGATCTATTCTGAAAATGTCCAAAGCTGTTTTCTTTATCTTCAATAGCCCTAACTTTCAACACCAGCCTACACAGCAGATTCATCCTATACTCTCACTAAAATGCAGAGTTCAGAAGCCCATCACACCAATCCACTTCTGACCAGTCCTCCTCAGCTGCCTTCTCTGCTGTGCTTACAGCTTCTCTGAACACATAAGCACTTACTCGACAGCACCTACATCTGTCTTTTTCTTCAGTGTGTTTGTCTTTTTGTTTCAATCACACAAAAAGAGGAGAATTTCATTTTTCCTCTTTCCTTATAAAACTCTGGATGGGAACTGTTTAACAAAGAGTCAAGTTTTGGTTAGTAAGAATACCAGAGAAAGTCTGAAAATATTTTGAAAAATACTGCCTTGAGAATCCTACATATTTTTGTATGAATGTATATATATACACACACACACACACATACTCACACACACACATACATATGGATTCTGATAGATTATGCTTCCCTTTAATTGGTCATCAAACTTGGTAATCTCATTTCTATGCACACAACATCTGATAGTTGGGGGAAGTGGTCTGGAAGGCTCCTGGGCTGCAACCCAGCGCTAATATAGGTTTAATAACTTGCCACACAATCTACAGAATGGGAGAAAATTTTTGCAATCTATCCATCTGACAAAGGTCTCATATCCAGAATCTAAAAGGAACTTGTACTGATCTACAAGAAACAAACAACCCCATCAAAAAGTAGGCAAAGGATATAAACAGACACTTCTCAAAAGAAGACATTTATGCAACCAATAAACATATGAAAAAAAGCTCAACATCACTGGTCATTAGAGAAATGCAAATCAAAACCACAATGGGATACAATCTCACGCCAGTTAGAATGGC